AAAAGTTTTCCCAGCATCTCTTTGCCTTTTGATGGGGTGACAGTTTTTAAAATTGAAAAGGACAACGAGCCAAAGAGATCAGACCCTTAAAGCAGAAGCATGGAGGGCACTCAGGTGAAATGCTCGTGTTCAGGAGCTGCAATTTCCACCTTGTCTCTGAAATCCAGACTGTGTTTGACACAAATGCTCCTCTCTCCAAGCAGTGCAGGGTGTGAGGGAGGATTTCTGTCACCCGTGGATGGATGCTCAGTACCCACCCACTCTGCTGAGCTCCCCCGTGGGTGGTGACGTCTCCACATCTTGATTTGCTTCTTCTTTTCTTTTAATTTATTTTATTCAATTTCTTCAGGGTGGAAAATGTCTCCCAAATCCACCTCTGCCCACAGGCTGTGGGGATAATGCTCACGTTTCTGATAAGGAACTGCAGCCCACACGTGCTCTCGTGTGCTGCTGCTCTCCAGCACGGCAAACCCAGTGTCCTACCAGCCCCAGCAGGTCCTTTATGGGGGGAAAAGTTGGGATCCTGGCCCTTCTGAGATCCCACAACTTCATCATTGCCCCAAAATACGCCCTGGCTGAACCCCACCCTCCCTACCTGCTCCCAGCCCTGTCCCCCCTGCTTGGCAGGTGCCCCTTGGATTTGCATCCCCTCATGGCAGTCTCGACTTCCTTGGCTTCTGCAGGAACCTCTTGGAGAACTTGCATTCCAGGAGGACAGACTAGACACAAAAATTCACATTCTTGGCCATAAATTGTTGTTTGTTTTTGCCTCCCTGTTTGCAGGAGGGGTGGTTGAGATGGGTGAGCGATGGCTGAATGGTCCCCGGGGTATTTCAGGACGGGCAGATGTGCTTAAACCCAAAAAGGGAAGCAGGTTTCCTCGTGCTCTGTGGATGAATTGAGGTTTGAGGGATTTTTAGACTTTCTCTCCCTCTGTGGGGCTGGGGGTGAAGTGGCTTTGGCCCCGTGGGGACCTGCTGGCCCCACTGCTGTTACGCTCATCCCGCTCGGAAATGCAACAAACGCCCTAAATGCTGGTGGTAGAAGGGATGGTCAGGGCAGAGGGGATGGTGTGGGTCATGCCCCAGGTCACTGCCAGCCCTCCTTGCTCCTGCCTGTGACCCTGGGTTCAGGCAAAGGGCAGGAGTGTGACCACACTGGGCCAGCGTGTGACTGTGGCGTGACCCGGCGATGGTGCAACCCCAGCCCGGGGGGGTTCTTCCTTTGGGTGCTCCCGGATGAAATGTCCCTGCTTGGCTGTTACCTCCAGGGGCTGCATGGCCCTCACCCCACCACACACCTGGGACCTTCCAGATGCCCGCAGGGCACTTGGATGGGTGTTACAAACTGCTCCAGGGAGCTGCTCAGCATCCCACAGGTCTGTGGCATCACACCCCCTCCCTGGCAGTCTTGGGGTCCCACGGGAGCAAGAAGGAGCATGGCCAGCCCCTCCTGTCCCTCTTGCTGTGCCAGCACCTCTGTCCAGGCTCTGGAGATGTCCAGGCAGGTGCTTAGTCTGTGCACAAAAGCACCACCAATTTGCCTCAAATGCTTCGCCCTTCCTAAACTTGTTGGTTTTTTTTATTTATACCTTTTTTTCCCCCTTGTCCCAGGGCCGTGGTCACCCCTGTGGACAATGCCCCAGACCCACTGCAGAGTCGCTCTGCCAGTAGCTCCCCAGCCACTCCTGCAGGCACTGGATGGCAACTCCAGCAGAACTCCAGTTCCATCGCACCAGCTCCCACCTCTCCCCAGCCCCGGCACCACCGGGCCCCGGATCCCCACAGAGGCACCCTCAGCTGCCAGCCTGGGGTGCTCCCCCTTCCCCGGGGTGCACGGGGACAGCGAG